CTCTGCAGTATCGCAACTTCCAGGCGGCATCTCCCGCGGGGCTGCGGGCGCTGGGGCAGGTCCGCAAGGCTACGCTGAAGGTAAGGGGCAACCGGGGATGCTGCGGGGCCGGGGGAGGCTCCAAGCGATGCTGGGGACAGTATAATTAAGAGTAATGGTTGTTGTAATGAAAGAGCGGGGCAGGGATGCGGAGCGAAGTGGCACCGAGGTTAGCGCGGACCCGCGGTGGGTACCACTCCGTCCTGCCTCCCTCGGGGACCACTGTCCATCCTTCCCTTCCTCAGGGGCACCTGGGACCCCTTAGTGGCTGCTGTTTCACTGCCCTTTCCTCCTTAGGGGCACCCAGGTCCCCTTGAGGGCTGCTGTCCATCCTTCCCTTCCTCGGGGGGCACCTGGGACCTCTCGGGGACCACCATCCCACCACCTCTTCCTCAGAGGGCACCTGGGTCTTCTCAGGTGGCACCCAGGTCTCTTCAGGGACCACTGTCCTGCTGTGCCTTCCTCAGCTGGCACCCAGGTCCCCTCAAGGGGCTGATGTTCATCCACCCATTCCTCAGACGTACCTGGATCTTCTCAGGGGGATGCTACCCTGCCATCCCTTCTTCAGGGGGCACCCAGGCCCTCTCAGGGGCTACTGTCCCATCACCCCTTCATCAGGATCACTCAGGTTCCCTCAGGATGCCACTGTCCCACTGCCCCTTCTCCAGGTGGCACCCAGGTCCTCCCAGGGGTCTGCTGTCCCACTACCCCTTCTTCAGACCAAGAGCTTCAACAAAAGGCAATGCAGTTCCCATCAGAAAACCTGTATCTTCCAAAACCCACATCAAATTGAAGTGACATAAAGGGACAGGAGTCTCTGAGAGGAGCAGTGCCTTCTCATCGGGAAGAGCTTGTCAGGGATACTTGAGACGTGCCCAGGAAATGTCCCTGGTACCCTGATGGGTGAGCACTGTGCCATGCAGCCCTTCTCTTCCTACAGGTTTGGGTTTGGTTTTTTTTTAACAGCTTATTCGGTTTCTGAAAGTAAGAGATCAGGGAAAAACTTGTGGGGAATGTTTGTCCCAGGGTGTAGCTCCTGGAAGGAAATCATTACCTTCCTGGAGAGCTGAGTGGAAGGGATTTAACACCAACTGTCTGGTCCTGCTGCTGGGCTGGTTGCTTTGGATTAAGAGACTGAAGTGCTAAATGCAGCACTGGATTCCACTGGATCCTTTCCATGGATCTATCTGGAGATCTTACATTCATTCTTCAGCATGGCATGTGCAATTCAGGCCCTTAAAACGGAATAAGATAGTGAGTGTAGTGTCAAATCTGCCCTTGCAAGAAAGGAGTTCCAAGCCAGCCTGAAATGTTTATTGCAGTTCTTACTTGATCCTCAGTCTTTAACGTAGATCCCACTTGGTAGTGCTTCCAAGCCAAGTTGCAGCCTGAGCTGGACACAATATTTCACAGATCAGAATGGCTTCCTATTAAATCCGACAAAATACTGTGTAAACATTCAGATTTTGGTGTGATTCAAGGCTGAGTGTTAATCATATCTGGGAATGCAAACACAACATCTGGAATCATACCCTTTAGGTAACAATCTGTTCCCATCATCACTCCCAAAATGGCATTAAAGACAGTTGATGAGGTGCTGAGCATGAAAGTGCTCATGGGACATTTCATTCTCCTTATGAAATTGCTGCAGACACTTTATGACAGGAATTTACTGTGTTATTTGATGCTTCTTTCCAAGCCTACAAGTGCTCCTGCTGTATTTACTGGGTAGTTTGCTTATGTATATCTGGATATATATACATATATAAATGCTTATGCCTGGCTGGAGCACAAACTGCTTCTAGTCAGAGTTGTGGGGAAGGAAGGGGATTTTTTCCCAGCTACTATCAGCTACCTGATATAGGAAGGAAAACAATTGGTTTCTTATAGAGAAGTGAAATTCTTCCTCATTTCCTCAGTGCTGGATGCTGCAAGAGCTCATTGTAACCACCCTGTGCACTTTATTTCCCCTTTCTCTTTGCAAACTCTGAGAAAACAAGAGGAGAAATGCACTAGACGTGGTCACTTCCTTCTTTCCTGTTCTCTACTGGCAAAAAATGACAAGAATTTCCTGGAAGGAATGTGCTAAGTTAGGTGAAGGCAAGAGACAGAGATGTTGGGGTTTGGGGAGGTTTAATCCTTGTTTTTAAGGCTGATTTCCTATTGGTGACTATATCCCTGGATCTCATAAAAGCAGGATAATTTTATCATGGAATTTAATAATAAGCATTGTAATTGAATACTAACTTTATTAGCCCATGAGCTGGGCGAGCTGTGGTAATTAGAAACAGCACTGGAGACAGTGCCCAGACTGAGAGCACTGTTAGCTGGGAAGGATCTCTCAAATTCAGGTGAAATGAGACTTTTTTCTCCTGCCAACAAACACAGATATGCCCAGCATGGAACAACTCCTACCTTACTGTTGGCTGCACTTGTATTTTTGTTGTCCTTTCTTTTCTTTCAAGCTAGGAAACAGCAGCTCATGGAATTGTTGACAGCTGCACTTTGAAATACATTTTGATTAGAGATTCAATAGTGTGTTGCAGCTGATTTAAGAGGAAAGCTTTCAAAACACTAATATAGCACTTTCCCATCCCAAACTGTCCTGGAAATCCACACTTAGGAGCAATAGGTGAACAAGGAGGTGAAGGATAAACGTAACACCAGGTAACCTCATGGCTAAACTGCAACATCTGCTTAAATTGGACTAGAAAACACAATTTTACAGTGGGTATTTCTCTTTACAACCTCACCTTGCTATCAAACAGTGTAATATCACAACTAGGGGTGTAAGATTAGAAGGCACTGAAAAAAAATTCCTATTTATTTCCAGCAGTCAGGACCTCACAGTAGGGTGGGAAAGGCAGAATCCATGGCAGAGACAGGTCTCACTCCTCTCTCTGCAGTGCCAGGTCCAGCATACTTAAAAACTGGTCAAAACCTGGTCCCAGGGGAGAAATCCTGGTGGGGAAACACAGAGGAGAAGGGGTGAGAGAGGGATGTCCCCTTTCCCTGCCAGTGGGGAGTGAGAGCAGTGTAAACTGATTGCAAAACTCATTGTAAACTGATTCCCTCCTTTGGGACCGGGGATGAAGCTGCTCTGAAGTTGCTATTTTGGCCTTCACAGTGCTAAAAATCTGTCCTGAAAGTTGCAATAATTTGGAGGCAGGAAATCAAGTAATTCCCCTGACCCAGATATTCAGTGGAAAAATGAATTACTCACTTGTTTTCTTCTTTTCTGGACACTTGGATCTTTGGCTGCTCTCAGCCAGCATCACTGGGGGCTGTCAGATAGCTCTGAGCTCTCACTTCACTCACACCCTGGGGTGGTTTGCAGCACTTTAGGATATAGTGGGAAATAATAGTGGGGAGAAAAGTGACTTTTTTTATACAAAAACACAAATCCTGTTCTAAATGTACAATTATTTCATGCCAAATGGACCTTCTCTCTTGGCCTTGGGGAGCTCAAGAAGCCTTGGGATGCACACCCAGACTGAATCTGTGTTTTAGCTGTGTAGCAGCACTTGAAAGCTTTCTAGGTAGTAGGATTAGTAGCTACTAGCAGTGGTGGAATAGATGGAAATGAACAAAGATAATCTGCTTCAAAGGCCAATTACGTATTCTTTGTAGTCCTACTATTTCAGGTTCTCATCTGCCTTCCTGATGATCAGAAAAGGAAACAAACCTGGGTCATTGTGCTTAAAAACACCCAAATTTGGTCAAATTAGCAATGTTATAAACCACACCAATAATTCCTTTTGGGTAGCATCACAATTAGAAACTCAGCCTTAACTCCAGGGATTATTGGGATATATTAGACTCTTCTTTCATTCTATTGCATTCCAGTTACTGATTCTCTGGGGAACCTGCATGTCAGGAAGCCTCTTTGTACCACTTTGCTATGCTGAGTGTCTCCTCATTGTCATTTTCAGGGCAATATTTTAGGCAACACACAAAAAGAAGTAGTAGAATGAGGAGGCAGAGAAGAAAGAGATTATCAAAGCCTGAATTCATCTGTTTCCTCTATCCCCTTTGTGGTGTGATTTGATTCCAGCTCCACACTTGGTTTCATTCTAAAGCTCCAAGAGGGGATTTTATACAAGTAGAACAAGTGACTAAAGCATTTTGTCCTCTTACCTGCAGTGTACAACCCTGTGTAGGTACTAGAGGCAGGTTCTGTGCTGCTGATGTTTCCTTGGGTATGAAGCTTCACTAACCTGATACTGTTGATAACTTAATATATAACTTAATGGGAGAAAGTGTGGTGGGAACACAAAGGCCCAAGGTTAGGTAAATACAACACACACATTCCCTTTGGGTCCTAATCTGCAGCAGGCAGAATTCCCCTCCTGTTTATCTGTTGGATTTAAAACACAAGGAAGACTAATAAATCAGTGCTGTTGCACTGAAAATTGTAGATATTTCAGAAGTGAACGTGAAAGTTGGCAAGAAAATGAGAGAGTGACTAAAGAAGTAGAGCTGATAATGCAAATATTTCTTATTAGGCTTTGCCAACATTAAAAGTAGTTTCTGCTTTAGCATCTTGGGGCTGGGACAGTCTGTGCTATCCCACACCAAAATACCTTTGTTAACTGAGATTCTCAAGTAAAAAAAAAAAAAGAAGAATCCAAAATTTTATATTTCAAAGGTGTATTTCTAAGGCTTTTCTGGTGTTGTCTAGCTGATTCCCATCAGCAAGGAATACTTTTTAATTTAGCCTTAACAACAGAATCCTTGATAATGGAATGGGATACTTGAGGACTGATATTTTCAGGGCAAACCAGAGCAGATGTAGCAGAATCAGCAAGATTAGATTCATTTCTATATTCAAGGGCACTCTGATACCCTGTACAAAATCACCTCCTGAGATCCTGAACACTCATTTGTCACTTTATTCTTTGGAAAGTCCCTCAGTATCAATCTGTCCCATGAAGGACTTTGAGCTGTATTTTCCTTCTTGCCTATCTCTTTGAGGAAAGGCTTTAAACCATCCCTTAATGGTGTTGCTAAACCCTGTGTGTTTGCTGCTGGAATCATTCAGCACATCCCAGCTGAGTGATCTCCTGAAGCTACAAGGCCAGGAGGGAGATGTGGTGCCTTGCTCTCTCTCCTCAGTGCTTGTTCCAGCTGTGGTGCCCTTGTTCTCCCTCCTTGGTGCTTGTTCCAGTCCCTAAGGCTGTGGTTACCCTGATGTTTGACTTTTCTCTCTTCCAGAACATCCCAGGCACTGGCCACAAGTACTACCTGCAGTTCAGTACTGAAGACTACAGAACTGGGGTGAGTCCATGGTCCTCCCTGTTTTTTCTGACCATCAAAAGAATGTCAGCATCTCCAAAACAAGGACTTTCATGGGTTGCAAATGGCTCTTTCCCAATGGAAAAACCTTTATGCTCCTACTTACCTGCCTGGCAGGTGGTTTGGTTTGAGGATCACCTGAGTATCTCAGCAGTCCTCAATCCTGAAATGATTGTTTTATTGAAAGTCACATCAGGCCACCATGGGCCTGTGTGAAACTTTGCAGTGGCTCAAGCTCAGTGACAGTGTGGTCCTCATTATCCCATTGTGGTCCTCATTATCCTGCTGTGGTCCTCATTATGCCACTGTGGTCCTCATTATCCTGCTGCAGCTCCTCTGTCCACACCCCAAAATGGGACTAATGAGCTGACAGCTGTGTGTTCTTTTCAATTCCATCCCCTCTCCATTCCCTCTGCCACAGTTGTCATTAGTTATTTCACTGTGAGCATCTGCTCTTCTTTTACCCCAAAATTTTGTGGCATCCAAATGATTTTCAGGATTTAATAAGAAGCATTAAACAATTTTTGTTTCAAGGCTGAAGATTCCTCCAATGAAAATCCCTGTTAGCAATTCATGTTATTTCTTGAGAACTCTCAAACATATTTCCAAGATGACTTAGTGCATTAATTAAAACCTCCTGTTAAATCCCTTTAGCCTTGTGGGTTTAACCTATTTACTTTTCTGAGGGAAAAATGAAATCCTTCTAAAGACCTTAGTGAGTCCTGAACAGCTTCTTGCAAAGAATGTGCTGCTGCTGACTAAAACCCGGATTAAAACTAACAGTTTGAAATTCTACCTGGACAGGAAAACGCTGGGAACTGCCTGGCCACAGTGCTGTATCCAAAGACAAAGTCTCCTCCTGTTGTCAGCATCAAGTGCTCACACACCAAAGACCACAAGGAAAGCCAGGAAGAGGACAACAGACTTTACCAAAGAATCAGGCACCAAACCAAACCAATAACTGGGAACAATATTCCAGGTATTTTCCTCCAAATAATCAGCTGTATTTCATTTTATCTCCCAGAGCATCAGCACAAGCAAATGTGTATGCATTTAAAGGACACACAAGTATTTACAGTGGCACCCAGAGAGCATAGTGCTACCAAAACATTTCCACCTTGCCAAGGATTCCTAGGGACAACCCAATCCCACTGGATTTAACCCTGGCAGTCAGCACTGACCTGGGAAGGTGCTTTGGGGATGAAAGCAAACCCACAGCATTTCAAACTTCAGGGAGTGCAGAACATCCTCCAGGAATAACAACTGCCCTAAGCCACACACTCCCCAGCAGGGGCTGGAAATTCCCTAGGGGTAACTAACAGGATTTTTCCATGCTGGAAACAGAATGCCCCAGGTGTCTGTTTCCCTCCCAGTTAGGCTTATTCTTATGGATTTTGGGGGAGTTAATTACTACGGATTTGAGGTTCTCCCTCTGTGAATAGTCTCTTGGCAATGTCAGTCCTGCCACACTTTCATACCTTACTCTGATCACAGGTTCAGCATCATTCTCCTTCTTCTTCCCTGTGACACGTGGGAGGGAAGAGTCACATCCCAGGACTAGTGCTGTGCCAGACCAAAGTGCTCTGTGGTTCATCACTTTGCTGCTGAGCAGGCAGAATGACTATTTCCCTCTCTCTCTCTCTCTGTGCCCTGCAGACAGCTATGGCAATATTGACCCTGCCCTGGAGCCAGTGTGGGCTTTGGCTGTTGCTGGCAGCAGCTCCATCATGTGGGAAAGGTCAACAGAGAAACTGAGTTACTTCATGGCCCAAGTGAAGTCTGTGAAGCAGTGGGTGAGTGCAGCAGCAGTGACACATCTGCAAGGCAGAGGTAGCACACAACACACATCTCATACTGCTGTAAGGCGTGACTCTCCCCCAATCCCAAGGGCTTCTCATTACCATTATCCATCTCTGGCCAAGCATCTTGTCTAGGTTTTGGTGGGAATGTTTTACTCATTTGGACAAGATTTGGGTCTCCTTGTTTGCATGAGTGGCTTCTGCAGGTCATCAGCCCCACACCAAGTCACTCCCAGCACCCTCTGTCCACACTCACAGGTCCCATCAGCCTCATACCTGGCACATACCTGTCTGGGGCACTGATCTTCCACCTGCACATCAAACTGCAGTTCCCCAATCTCTGTCTCCCTCAGCCAGCTGTGATCCAGAGACAGGATTCAGTCTTAACTCCCTCGATACTCAGCACGAGATTTCTTTGAGGGAGAAATTAATAGTCAGGTAAGATCCTCAAGTTTGAGAGGGTTAAACTCGATTAATGAGCACCTGAGTCATCCAATCTCATGGCAGAGACAGTCAGGCTGCAGAGCTACACAGCAGTTAGTGCCTTCATGCAGGAAGTGCTCCTAATTCTGTGCCTTTCCATGATCCAAATCCATCTCCAACCAGCATGCACAGCCAGCAAGACCTGCTCAGCCCATTCCCTAAACTTCAGTCACGTAATTAAAGCAGAAGTTAAACTTCAGTGATATAACTTGTGTTCTTCTCTTTTTGATGCATGTCCAGATAAGGAAAGATGATTTCACCGAGTTTGACTACACTGTCCTACTCCATGAAATGCCAACACAGGTAAGGAAGGGCATGTGTACAATCCCTCCCTTCTTCAGGAGATGAGGAGCATAAAGGTCATAGAATCACATCTAAGATCATCAAGTCCAACCATTGTCACTGCTCTAACCCCTAAACCATATCCTCCAGCACCAGATCCAGGCACCTCTTAAACACTTCCAGGAATGGTGACTCCACCACCTCCCTGGGCAATATTCCAGTGCCAGAAGAAGGCTGTAGGTGTTTAAAGGAAGGTTTCTGTATGTTGATCCTTCTGCCATTTCATGCTTAGTAGTTCAGTTTTGTTCCTGGGAACCCTAAGTAGAGGCTACTGTGTCCTTCATGGCAGAGACCTGTGGGGTGATACCAGATAGTGAGGAAAGAGGTTTTCTTGTCACTGAGTATTTGGGTTTCCTTTTACTCAGGATAATTATGCAGCATTTTTGTTTAGTTTGGAGAAAGGTCCTGGAGTGTGTCCGGAGAAGGGAAACAAAGCTGGAGAAGGGCCAGATCCAGATGCCTCTTAAAACACTCCCAGGACTGGTGACTCCACCATCTCCCTGGGCAATACTCCAGTCCCTGAACACCCTAATAGGGAAAATGGTTTTCCTAACATCTCCTCTGGCTCTGCCCTGTCTCAGATCAAGGCCATTCCCTCTAGTCCTCTCCCTGCAGCCATGGCAGGAGACACCATCCCCCACCTCTCTCCAACCCCTGTCAAGGACTTGGAGAGAGCCAGGAGGTCATTCCTGAGCCTCTTCTCCAGGCTAACCAAGCTCAACTTCCTCAGCACTTCCTCATGTGCTCTAGCCCTTTGCTGCCCTCACTGCCTTTGGCTGGACTCACTCCAGTGCCTCAATGGCCTTTTTGCAGTGAGGAGCCCAAAGCTGAACACAGCACTGAGCTGTGACCTCCCCAGTGCCGAGTCCAGGGGGATGATGATGAAATGTGTGTGTTGGTTTCCCAGGAGATGATTTCCTGCCACATGCGTCTCACCTGGAGGCCTGGGCACCCCCTCAAAGTCAAACACTTCTGTGCCTCGGAGCATCAGGGCCTTGAGGAAGCATCAGGAATGGAGTCTGGATCAGCTGCTGGAGTTCCAGATGAAAGGGGAGCCAACTTTTAAGGGACATAATCAGCTTTCTGGATGTGGATTGAATGAGAGAAATCCTTGTGCTACCAGAGCTGGAGCTGGGATAATTTTTCCTCCCATGTCAGTGAACTGGAAATGCTTTTCACTAGCCTCTTCTGTGCCAAAATTAATTCCTCTCACTCTTTAAACTGCAAGACTCAAGTTCTACCTGAAAACTTTGCTACTCCATATATACACAGATGAACATACCCAAGTTGATTTTACAGCCAGTAATTAACTGTTTAAACTTAGAGTTTGTAAACAAAGTTAATATATTTGGATAAAAGCCTTGAGAAAACTTTTGATTTGTCACTGAGGAATATTTGCCTACTAATTTTTTTTGGGTAGAATCATGCTGATTTTTAACTCACACCTCCAATAAACCAAATACCATCATGCAGGCCCGAGGTTGGGTTTTCTTTCCCCATGTTGGATCCCAATTTCCACCTTCTCCGTGTCTGGGCTGTAAAAGGACATAGATGAGTCTCAACAGCAAAGCATCTCCCCACCAGGCCCTACAGAACTCAGCCCCTGCCTGGCCCCAGCCCTGCTGACACATTTGCTGACACAAAAAGGTTTCTTCTCTCCTGTTTTTGAGGGCAACTGAGAAAATATTGACAAAAGGAAACCATAGTTGGTTGTGTCTCTGCACACACTGCAGTGTTTGTCAAGTGGAAATCAAAGATGGCTTTGCCTCTTTGCAGTTCTTGCTGTTCACTCAAACCCAAACATCCTTGCAGAGCCAGGAAGGCTCCATATGGATGAATTTCCAACTTTGGGTTTGGCAGGGAACAACCTGCTGGCAGAACACACATCACACAGCTCTTCTGGCAGTGCCTGCTGTGTCCTGTTCCCATCCTGAACACCACAAAGTCAAGGTTTGTGCTCTGCCACCACATTCTCCAGTTGGGTTTGCAGCAGAGCCACCACTGTGCCACCTCTGGGCTCTGAAATGGTGCCAAACTGTCTCAAGCTCACCTGTTTTTCCCCCTTAGCCAAGATTTCTGCCAGGATGGATTAAATCCCTACCAAGAAGGACCTTACTGAGTCAAACAGGCACTGGGATGTGTGTTCTGTCTAATTACTTATGGTTTTCACTGCCCTGGAACTGTACTCAGCACCAATGATTCACAGGAAAGCTCTCCCTGAGGGTATTTAGGCTGTCAACCCCCCAAATTCAGGCATTATATACAAAGAGTGTTAAATCTGATTCCCTGACTGAAGCTTTTTCAATCAACACCTCCCAGTACTTTCAGCCAAGCAGCATTCCACATCCTCTTGGTGTTTTCTCTTGTGCTGGTACATTTCTCATCATCAAAAGGATGAAATCAGAGCTTGTAATTTCAACATTTCCTAAAGAAACTGGTGGTTCAAATATTTTGTAGGCTGTAAACAAGAAAACAGTGTAGATATTGCACTTTGGGGCTCTGCTTTGGTTCCTTACCTTGTCTTTACCACCGCCCTGCACACCTGGAACAGAGGATGAGGCACTTCTGACTCTCCAGGTGGGTGTAACTGATGACTCACAAGCAAGACAAATTTGAATCAGTTCAAAACATGCACAGAACTTCTGCATGAGCAGCAAAGCTGTAGGAATTCTAAGGCAAAGCTTCCCTCAGCTGCTTTAAGGCTAAGATTACAGCCTAAAACCTAAAGTCATACAGCAATATTCTTAGGGGTTTGGGTTTTTTTCCTGATTTATGGAGAACCAAGATATCTGGCAGAACCCATGAGCCAGGAATTCACATCATGTCTGACCTTAGCAGAGTATAAAACGCCATAAATAGACTCTTAACCACCTTGTTTCTTCCCTGCATTTCCAACTGCTTTTACAGACAGCTCTGAATTTGGGTAAAAGCACCAGATTTGCTTCTTTTAGACAATTTCCAAATGCCCAAGGACTTGCAGGGCTTTTCTGGGAATGAATTCCAGCTGACCACTTCACAAAAACAAAGCCAGGGATGTAAGGGAATCAAGATGTGGCCCAAAGCAACACCACAGGGACACACCACATCACTCCTGGTTCCATTGGCATCTCCATGTCCCAACAAACCTTTGCCCAAGGTTCAAATAAACCATTTTCCCTGTCTTTCCCTGAGGGCTGAGGAGAAGCAGCTTGGCTGCTGCAGTTCTGTCCGTGTCTGGGAACCATCATCCCTGGGCCTGGGCCAGGAATGTCACTGGGTTTGAACTGGAACTTCATTCCCTGTTTACTGGAAGTCTGAAAAAGTGCTGTGAAGCTGAGGAGGTCAGGAAGAGAGGAAGAAAATTCCACATGGACTTTCTGGTTGCAATTAAAAATGTACAATTATGGTGGCAGCTTCTCCTTCTCACCTAACTAATGCCTTTGTTTTGTGTCTCTGCTGTGAGTCAGCAACATTTAGCCAACTGATTCCTGAGCTGAGCATCAGCTGCAACACACCCTCTGCATTGGAAGATTCTGGGAAAAGGAAGCTTTGGTTTGGTTTTCTAACAAAGAGCCAAATCCCAAACCCATACAATCAATCCACAGCACCAAGCCTATACAATGAATACACATCACCAAGTCCATATACTGAATCCACACCTCCAAGTTCATACAGTGAATCCACACCACCAAACACAATGAATCCCCATCACCAAGTCCATACCATAACTCCACACTGTCCACAGCTTTGGGAATAGTGAACTCCTACCAACATCCTTGGCAACTCTTCTCCATGCCTTGTGTCACCAGTGAAAAGTGGATCTGGCAACAAGCCAGTTGCACTGAGTGATGGCTTTGCCCAGTGGGTTGAGGCTTTGGAGGATCCTGTGCTGTTCCTGAAGGATTTGGAGGGCAAACTGCCATCTCTTCCCTGGGAACACCATGTGGTCAGTGTTGGATGACATCTCAACCCTGTGCCTGTCCAGCAGCTCTCACCAGAGTCTCCTGTCTTAATAGTTTTAAGCTTCCCAAACCAGGAACTAACCTAATTTCAAAATAATGATGTATCAAGTAAAAAAAATACAATTATTTTAATAGAACTCAATGGAGACAAATTTCAAGACAAATTACCAGCTGTGTTTAACCTTTCTGTATTTCATTAGCATTGACATGTGAACAACTCCATCTTGATCTCCTGGTGGCTTCTGAGGACACCAGAGGAAGAGTGTTATGATGAAATTCCAAGTCCAAATCCCACTGCAACCCACCTTCCATGGCTTGGAAAACTGAGCTGGTGGAGGAGAATGTGCAAAAGTGTTCAGCGGCCTCCAGAGGAGTAAAATCAGCTCTTGGCTTTGCCCTTCTTGGCAGGGAGTCGCCCTGTGGCCTCCAGGTATTTGTTGATGATTTCTTCCTGAGTGCTGGGGGAACATGGGTGGTATTTGGAGTATTCCATGGTGTATTCACCTTTTCCCTGAGGAATTGAGGAAAAGAAAGTCAACATGAGGATGGGACAGGCATAAGGTCAAAGTGAGGATGCAACCTGAGCAGGTCTGTGAAACAGCACCCAATAATCCTTTATAATCCTACACAAACTCCTCAAAGTCTGGAGGAGCTTCTAGCTAGGAATGATACAACTCAGTTAACTGA